TACCTTACTCTTTTCACCAGTCCTCATTCAAAAATCCTGGAAGTTCGTTGATTAGTTTATGCACACATTTATTCACTCAAGAACATTTATTGCTCCACTAACAAATGACAGGTACTATTCATCTTATAAGTATGTTCAAGAAATATAGCTCTGAACAATAAATAAATAAATAAATAAACCCATACTCTAGTTGGGGGAGACAAAAATAATAAAAACATGAATAAACAAATACATAAACATAAGTATCAATATATAAATAAAAATTAAATAAGTGGGTAAAATTGTACATTGGGTAACTGCTAGGGAGAAATAGAAAGCAGGGAAGAGAGATGGAGAGTGTTAGTTGGTGAGGGGAAGTTGCAATTTCAAATTATGGGGATGATGAAATTTAAGAAGGAACATATGGGGTTATAGGAGAGAACTATGTGCATATTGGAGGAATGAGTTTATAGGCAGAAGGAACAGCCAGATGGGAAGGCTATGAGATAAGAGTGTCCCTAGAGCATTCAGGAAACAGAAAGAACATGAATGTGTGGGGAGAGAGGAATCAGAATGGAGGGAGAAGGAATTGAAGTCAGAAATGAAATGGAGGACCCAAATAGCTGGGGCTTTTGGGGGCATTTTGAGGACTGGGGTTTTTGCACTGAGTAAGCCATTGAAGAGATTTGAGTGACATGACCTGACTTTTGTTGATCTCTCTGGATGCCATGTTGATTAGAGACTGTAGGAGAGCAAGGACAAAATTAGGGAAACCAATAATTGATTCAAAGAAGTCATTTACTGAAAGATGTGCCTTCTACTCAGTAAAGACATAGAACAAAGACTGACAAAAATTGGTTCACAGATCATTTTGTATGACCTGTGAGCTAAGAATGGATAAGGGTCATTGAAGAAGAAAAAAAGCAAGGAGGAGGAGCTACAGAAACTACACATGGCCCACAAAATCTAAAATATTAATATTTAAAACCCAGAAAATGTTTGCCAAAACCTGAAGTAAAGCATGTGGCTCAAAGTAGGTTTTCAACAAAATTGGAAGGAGAAAGACATGAATACATGAATTACTAAAAATACTGTGCAGTGGCAGGTGTTGAGAAACTACTATGGCTTCATCCCCAGCCCTCACAAACAATGCCATTCATTTCCATTGAGCTATTGAAAATACTGTCTGGTTTTCAAAACAGTAAAGCAAATGGCACTTTCCCACATAAACAGTGTCCTAAATAAAAATGATACAGCAGCAAAGAAACAACTAACACAAAGCATTTTTATAGAGCTTGAAACTTTACAAAGCATTTTCATGTTAATTACCTAATTTAATCTTCAAATCAACTCCATGGGATAGGCATTATTTCCCCATTAGAAGTTATGACATACTAACTCCTTAGAGACTGATCAAGAAAAGTTAGAGTCTTCAATGTTATATCTACTAATACTGAGGTTGATGTTGTCCTCTGGGAAGGCTGGATGCAAGAATCAACAGGGACTTTCAGTTCAACACAAGAGACCAGAAACACATAGTTACTTTGTGTTCCTCTTGAAATGATATTTAAATAAAAGTGTAGAAATACCAAAATTTTCAGACCAATAAAAGCCAAAATGTTATGAAAGTCATCAACCATGGAAAAGTTTTTATACATTTCTGGAAAACAAAACGCGGACAGGAGGGGTAATAGATAAAACAATCAAGAAAAGATTACCCCAAGAAGGAGCTGCACAAAGCCAGCCTGTTGTTGCTGAGCCCTGGTTATAGTAAAGGGCAGAAGACAGAAGAAGGACTGAAAACAAGGAGAAAAAAGTTACTGTAAGGAAAATAGCTGATTCATGAGCTCCACGGATCAGTAAAGTCTAGAGGACTCAGTATGTCCCTACATTAACTCTGTAAGACAATGGATTGTTGGTGATGAAGACAAGACAACAGGAGTGAGTGTCCCACTACAGGTTTCCAGCGATGGCTTATCATCATGACCACAATTCCATCCAGTGCTGTCCACCCCCAGCTTCATCTGCTGTGACTAAAGATTAGTGCTTTAAAATTTGTCAGATTAAAAATTATGTCACCTGACAATTATAAATTGCTGTTATTATTAACATATTTTGTATTAAGTTCCTTTTTTGGAAAATCTTCAACCTTGACAAATTATTTGCTTCTGCCAAGCCAAATGATCTCAGAATAACCATTTGCCATCTAGTGTTATTTTTCCATACAAGGACAAGTAAAAGAATATTCTATATCTCAAAGAAGCATCTTTTCCATCTATTTCCATGTGACAAGATAAATCAAGAAGTAAACTTTTCTGGGATGCCCTTGTCCAAATTCCCTTTTATTGTCCTAAATCCCTACTATTTGTTATATGCTTAATGAGTTTTTACTCATTGAGGGTAAAAACTGGAAATAATGTGACTGTAATTTACTGTTTTCAAATAAGTCTGAGATGTGATCATTTTTTTTCGGAGTTTCCATAGGAAATTTGTGGTCAAAATTTGTACCAGGTTGGTATTTTTGTTCACACCAACAAACAAAATTAAGGTATTGTTCCTTATTAAACCCTACTTAAATGATATCAAAGAATTATGGTTAAATGACATACTATAAATCATCTCTGCTCATGGAAGGGTTAGAATGGGCTTATACTATTTCTCCTCTTTTCAAACAGAATGTGGCTATGAGAAAAGCTTTTTGTTCCCTAACAACCCCAGCCTTGCTGGGAATGGAAATCCAAATTTGCTCTGACATACTATAAAAGGAATCTTATGAGCAGATGGCTAAAACCAATTTGTAATATATTAATTATGCCCAATGTTATTTTAAACAGATCATTTTACAATTAAAAAATGTATAAAACCATTTTTACTGATCTCTGATTCTTGATTCTGAAACTTCTGCCTGTCATATGTCTGAAACACATTATCAACCCAATGAATAAGAAATACACTCCAATGAAATAAGCCAAAGAAACAAGGTTAAAACTAGATAAAGCCGCATGTAGGATTTTCTAAATCATTCTTGTTATCCTAAAGCTTCCCATCCCAGGACAACCATACATGTTTCCTTTATCCTGGCATGCAAAAGTACATCTCCTATTGTGGCCATAAGAATATCTAGAGTTCCATGTAGGTGACCATAATGTATAATGTATAATGCTGTCATGCTCACAATGTTTAAGTTGTGTTAATCTTGTTTTAATCCAACACGTTGCTCCACTATTAAGTTGTAAATGAATATATTTTCTTTCTAGACAAATTTCAGGAAGGCCAGAGAAACTGGCTTCTTATCTATATGGATTAATCCACAGGTGAATTTCTTTCCAGACAGAACAAAATTGATGCAGAATATAATCTTTACATATGTGGATCCTTCAAACCAGACCAAAAAAAAAGTCTGGGCTGCAAGGCTTCATTAGAAGAGAAATGTGGGATAATGCTACACTGACAGTTGGTGGACCTGCTCTACATCTTCTGAGGAGACTGGAGCCCAAAGTGGGCCATGGTCAACTTAAGTGAAGTTGAAGTAAAGACCTCCTCCTAGGTGTGCATGTGCTTTGTATAGATATGCCATGGTGCTAAGTATCCTAAAAACGACAGAAAAAAATGATGATACATTGATGATACACGATGTACCCACGACCAGGAGGCAGGAGCTCTGGAATCACATAGCCTGGGTTCAAAGCATGGCTGGGCCACTCCCACCTGTGTGACTTGAGGAACCATCTAAGGCTTAACTGCGGTTTTACCAAATTTGTGAAAAGAAGTAAAGACAACCTATCTTCCAGGAAGGGATGTCATAGGGCAGCGGTCCCCCAAACTTTTTGGCACAAGGGACTGGTTTCATGGCAATTTTTTCCATGGACTAGGGATGGGGAGGATGGTTTCGGGGTGATTCAAGTGCATTACGTTTATTGAGCAGTCAGCCCTCTCTGCTAATGATAATCTGTATTTGCAACTGCTCCCCAGTGCTAGCATCACCACCTCAGCTCCACCGCAGATCATCAGGCATTAGATTCTCATAGGAGCGTGCAACCTAGATCCCTCCCATGCGAAGTTTACAGTTGGGTTTGTGCTACTAGGAGAATCTAATGCAACCGCTGATCTGACAGGAGGCGTAGCTTATGTACAGCCTCGCAAGCAATGGGGAGCGGCTGTAAATAGAGGTGAAGCTTTGCTGTGCCTCCGGTTCCTAACAGGCCACAGACTAGTACAGGTCCACAGGCTGGGGTTGGCGACCACAGTCACAGGGTGTAGCATCTGGTGGTGAGGGCCCCGCCTTTCCTCCTCAGAAACTCTCTTAGCTGGGGCTGGTGACCCTCGCGGCCATGGTGGGGCAGAGGCAGTGGAGGGGTCCCTGGAGAAGGCTGGCAGGATCGCGGTGGCTTCCACGCTTGGCCTGGAGCTGGAGCCTGCAGAGCCGCTCCCAGGCTTGAAGGGCTCTGGCTGATCGGGCGCCCACAGTCCCCAGCAGTCCCCACACAGTGGCCCCTCTCGTGCCAAACACCTGCCACCAGCAGCTGGAAGTTGCGCTTTGCCTTTTGGCGCCTTTTCCCGGGGCCCTCAGCTGGGCTCCCGCGCCCGCCCCCGCGCGCCGTTGAGAACAACGGACACAAGCCCGCTGACCAGTGCGCACTCGGGCTGCGGCGGAGGTGGTCACGAAGGAGAGGGCTTTCCGTTTACTCGCCTCTTCTTGGCACCTAAGGCCCGCAGCTTGCCGAATGGGCAATCTTCTTAGCAAGCCCAGTCTCCTGGCCATCACAGACCCCTGCCGGGCCATCACCCTCCCTGACTTTCTGTCTGCGACGCAGCTCCCCCCGCCCTCCCACCTCCTGCCCTGTCCCAGGCTGTCCAACCCCAATGAGGATCGCCGGCCTTGAGCAGGGGGCTTTCGCATCACGCCCAAGAGGCAGGATCCCATCCCCAGCAGGCTATGAACTCCCCTCAGGGCATCCTTCCCACCGTATCCTGGCGGGGGGTGCCCCAAACAACCCTGTGCCGCCTGCTGGCGACTCCAGATGATCAGACAGTCCAGGTCCATCAACGTCCCTCCTGTCCGCTGCAAGGTCACTCTCCTGCGTTCACCACCTAAGCAGGTGGTCAAGGCTGCCAAGCTGACAGCACCCAGTCACCTCCTCCTTCCTTGCCAGGAGAGGAATGAGGTGAGAGCCCAGGAAAACTCAGGAAGGCCACGGAGGAGGAGGGGGAGGAGGACTGCTCATGGAGACCCAAGGGCAAGAAGACAGGAAAAGGGCCTTCCTAGCTACGGGAAAGCACCACCAGCACTGGAGAGCCAGGGTGACGTCACTTCCTGGACATGCAGTCCTGGGCCTTCCCTGGAGGGACATCTCCACCCCCACCACCCTGAAAACACCTGGAGTGAGGAGGCCCAGGTGTCTCCCATGATCTCTTGCCCTGAAGGCCATGCAGTCACTGGCTCACACAGCCCTGCGGAAGGTGTCCTGCCTCCTGGGACGCCTGACCCAGGTGCAGCAGTGCTCCCTGACCCAGCCCCAGGCTGCTCGTGGCTACTGGAGAAGTTGGCCACCAGACTGCTGCGGGGAGGCCATGGGCCCAGCTCTCCAGGCCCGCTCCAGGCACCAATGTCGGGGAAGGAGATGCAGGGCAAAGAGCCTGCACATATGGCACCCAGGATCTCTTCTCCACGCAGAGCTACCAGGAATAGGCCCTGCAAAAGAAAAATGTCCCTACCACTGCTGCTGCTGCCACTGCCGCTGTCACTGTTGAGGGACAGAGGTGAGCTGCCCCCGCCTCCAAAGTTTCCCTGTATAGCTGCTGAGGAAGATTGAGGAATCTTGGAGGAGTCCATTGCATGTCAAAGACCAAGATCTTAGAGGAGAAAACAGAGGCTCTGGGGAGAAGACAGAGGCCTTGGGAAGCTGCAGCGCCACCCAGCCCACCCCCACTCTCCCCACCTGCTGCTGGGATGGCAGAATCCCAGCCCCTGGCCACGTCCTACACTTTCCATGCCCCGGTTCCTCCTTCCACCCCTGACTTGGCCAACCTGGCTGCTGGACCTCTGATCCTGCGTGTCCCTCCACCTTCTTGTACAACATTCACAATCCCTAGCTCTCCTCTGCCTGTTCCTGCAAACTTCTTCCTCCCTTTAGGGCCAGTTCCACTGTGGGAAGTCCACCTAAAGAGAATGAGGCCCCTGCTCATCCAGTCCCAGCTGCAGTGCCTCCGGTTTCTGACCTGCCCAAACTTCCTAGCTCCCTACCCTTCTCATCGACGCGACCCTTGTGCAGAACTCAGACCCCCATATCCATGTGTGTGGATTTCCCTCCTCCCTTTCCTTCCAGAACCCTCCTCCCCCTTCCTTCCTTATCCTTCCTCCTCCTTCATTCCCTATCACTCTTCCTCCTTCCTTTCCTGTCCCTCCTCCCTTTTCCTTTCCTATTCCTCCTCCTCTTCCTTTTCCTGTCTTTCCTCCTACCATCCCTTCCCTTCTCCTCCTTCCTTTCCCAACTAGGCCCCTCCTTATCCCTCCCCCTTCCATCACCTCCCCTTCTCTTTCCTTCCCTATTCCTCCTCCTCCTTCCATCTCCAACTCTCCTCCTCCTGTCCCCTCCTCTCCTCTTCCTTAGCCATCCTCTTTCTTCCTTTCCCACTTCCATCCCTTCCCCTCCCTCTCCTTCCTTTCCTATCCCTCCTCCTCTTTCCATCCCTTACTATCCTCCTCCTTCCCTCCCCATCCTTCCTCCTTCCATTCCCTCCTCTTCTCAACCTTCCCACCCAATCCTTTCTCCTTCCTTTCTCTCTTATCCTCCTCCTTTCTTTCCCATACCTCCTTCTTTTTCCAACCCCTCTCCTCTTCCCCTTTTCCTCCACATCCCTCCTCCTTTGTTCCCTACGTGTCCTATTCTTTCCTTCTCCACCTGTCCTCCAGGCCCTTCTAATGGGATTCCTGCTTTTATCACAGCCACCTTTACCCAATCCACAGCAGCCATGTCTACCACCAGAGCCAGCACATCTGCACACTTGACCAGCACCTACTTTAGACCCTGAAGTCATTGAAATGGACACCACTCCCCTGTCTATGGCTGCTATTTTCAGCTCTCCCCCAACCTCTAGCATGAGCTCTCCTCCATTTTCCCCAATCCCCCATACTGCAGAACAGAGGCACCCTTCAAAGACCAGAGTCCCCATCAGCCCATCTGCACTTACAGTCCACTGCCCCACCTCAAATTTTAACCGTAACCACCTCATTGGCCCAGGAATCACCCATTGACCCACATTTGGGATCCCTGATAGGCAGCATCAGGGAGCTTCTTTTCCCAGAGCCCCTGTTCTTATGAGTCTTCCCATCACAGCCCCTCCTGTTACCTCCACTCTGGTGAGCAGCACCTCTGCAATTGCATCACCCGTGCCTGTCTTTGACACCAGTACTCTGGATACCACCTGTCCTTCCAAGGTTGACATCTTCTGGTCTCCTCCTGTCTCCTAGAAGGCCCTTTTTACACGGGGCTTCCTAGGAACACACCACCCAGTGACAGCATTGCCTCAGCACAGGTCTCCAATGGCATGGGCATGCCTGGACAGTCAGTCAGGGGACCAGCTGCAATTTTCAAGCATCGTCCTAATCCAGAAGCCACCCCTCAGCCTCCTGATGGACAGCAATAGTCTCACCAATCTCTCATGTGGGGAAGGAAGCAACACAAGAACAAGATATAGGCCTGGCCTCTTCTGCAACCCAGCCACCAAGTGCCAACCTAAGGCCATCAGCTTTGCTGGCATCTGGCTTGGAGTTGCCACCAGGATACCCGGCACTGGGGACAGTACTGCATTGCTGGCCAGCACCAGTCCAGGCCAACTGGTGTTGATGAGACCTGCAGCCCCTGTGAGTGGTGGGAGCTTTGGGCTCCATGTGTCTTCCCCAGGCCCCTGCTATGTGCAGGTTCTCCCTTCCCCTAACCCACTTTCCTCAGTGGGCCCTTTACTTTCCCACACCATGTAATAAAACCCTTCTTCTGTTAATCTGACTCTGCTCTTGTGTCTTTGTTCTTTGAGTCAACTGTGGAGGAAGAATTGGCATGTATGAGGGGTGACGTGTTGAGCCAGACTTTACACAAACTTTCCTGATTCCCAGGGAATAGCATGTAGAAGTAGCTACCCTGCATCACCCTCGCCTCTTCCCTCCGTTCTTCTCTCCAACCACCCCGACCTCATTGGAGGCCAGATCCTCCCTGATGTGTATGAGGAAACGCACTTTCTGACTTTAGTCTTTAAAAATGCATAAATGTGTTTTTGTTGTGTGTCTGTGTCTTTAGGTGAGACTTAGGCCAGTCATGCTCACACATTCCCACTTCACCCAGAGGGCTGAGCTTGGCATCCAGCTTCTTGCTTCTAGAGGAACAAAGCAATGAAGAGCTCACATCTGCTCTATAATTACTGAAAATATAACCTTACTTAGAATTTCTCATGCTGCTTGAAAATATCAGAAAAGATTCTCTATGATACCTGGCCTGGCTCTGGTGTAAACATTGGGCCATTGACTCACAGCAGTTACGATCACACCTAGCTCTGGCTGACCCTCGAGTCCTACTGTGTCTCCACTAGATTTCATTGCTGAAAATTCCACCTTTCCTAAGGCATTTCACAACCCAGGGAAACCATCTGAAGATGGGGACAAGAGGAAAGTACAGCATGTCCCTCAGCTTCTAACTCATTTCATTATTTATCCAGCTATGACTCTCCACTAGACTCTGTGCTAGGCCCTAGAGATATAGAGTTGAGAGACATCTCTCACCCCAGAAACATTTACAATGTAGAGGGAAAGACAGCTGACTGGACCAAAAGTTCAATGGTATGGGTAAGCACTGAGATATAGGGAGCAAGGGAGAAAAACATAAACTACTTTCAGGGGAAATGAACCATGAACTGCATCTTCAGGGGGTCAAGGGAACAGTCAAGTGCAGAAGACCATTCCCAGTCAAAGCAATAGCATTCTCACAGTGAGGGAAAGGAGATGACCAGCAGTGTGACAGCAGACAGGTGTTCTTGTGTCTGAAGAGTGGAACCAAAGCTGGGAGATGCACCTATAGGGTTCGGTAAGGAAGGGCAGAACGTGGATGAACTTAAATACCACCATGAGGCATTTGTCCATTTTCCTCAAAGTATCGGAAGACATGAAAGTATTATAAGCAAAAAGGTGAGAAGATTTTATGTAGATTTTAGAAACGTTTTTCTGACTGTGTGAGAAGGAAGAAGTAAATGGTGCCAGAGCAGAGTCAAGGAGGTTTAGTAATACTGCAGTGACCCAGTGAAGGTGAAACAACGACCCCCTGGTCTAAAGGAGCTGATATCAATTATTAAAAGAGTGGGGATGGTGAGGAGGTAGGACGGAAGTGAAATGGGTGGCCCTATGGAACCCTGGTCTATTCTACCCATCTAGCTTGGATAGTTGAACATGAGTGATTTTGGTAAAAACACGAGTTCCACTTTTAAAAGCATGAGATGCCTGTAGAAGATGCAGTTACTATAATGCTTGGAAGGCAGTTCATTCACGAATTTTCAATTTAACATATCTCTTGAACATCTAGGATGTGCTACACACTATTGTAGCTAGTAGTGTCAATTAGAAGAAAAGCAAAACTCCTGACATTGTGGACCCCTATACTCCAGTGAAAGGGATAAAAAAATAAAAAACTTGGGAATCATCTTTTAGGCTAGGCAGTAACAAATGCTATGTAGAACAGGGCAGCCCAAGGAGGATTGAGACTGTGGAAAGTGAGAAGGAGGGTTTTCAATTTAAACTGTTGACAAGACATGACTCACTGGGAAGGTGACATTTGAATGAAATCTAGAGAAAGACAATTGAGTCATCTATCTGAGGTAACAGCATTCCAGATAACAGGAATAATCACTGCAAAGTCTGCAAGAAAGGATACTTGGAGTCCTCAATGAGCAGTTAGTACGCAATGTGGCTCCAACTAAATCAGCAAGTGGGAGGGAGGGAATGAGGAGAGGAAGACAAGGAATGTGGTTTGAATTCCTTGCACCGTTATGTATTGGTTGTACAATCACAAACAGTTGACCCAACCTTTAAAAAAGTCTCAGTGAACTCAGTGCCTTTTCTATGGACTGTTTACATCACAAGGTTTTTGAAACTTTAAAATCAAATAATACAGGGAAGTGACTTGTAAACCATTTTTGTTACTGTTCTATACATAGGAATAAATGGATAGACAGACAGATAGATACAGTGAGTGAGTTACAGACTGAATGTTTCTGTCCCCTCAGAAATTCATATTTTTAAGCCCTGACCCCAAAGTGATGATATTAGGAGGTGTGGCCTTTTAGAGGTAATTAGTTTTAGACGAGTTCACGAAGTTGAAACCCGATGATGGGCTTAGTACATTTATAAGAACAAGAAGAGACTCCAGAGCTTCCTCTCACGACCAGGTAAGGACATAGCAAGAAGGTGGCCATCTTCAAGCCAGGAAAATGATCTTCACAATAAATGGCATCTGTCCTGATATTGGACTTTTTAGTTCCCGAACTGTAGGAAGTATATGTCTGTTGTTTAAGCCCCAATCTATGGCATTTTGTTATAACAGCCCAAACTGACTAAGACAGATCGATATGTAGACTGTGTGTGTGTATATGTGTGTTTGTATGTGTGCGTGTGTGTGCGCGTGTGTGCATGCCCCATGAGTGAGTTCCTCAAGCAATGGTGCTCTGATTGCCTTTACTAGGCAATTCAAATGGAAGAACCACATTTTAAAGGGAGCATAAAAGTGCTTACGTTTATGAAGTAAACACATGTAAAAATGTGATAACTGGGACT